AACGACCCCAAAGTATACACCCCCTCCTCTATGGTGCTTTTCTCTGCTCGCTTAGTGTGTTTATAGCAAGGCCTTTCACTGGAGGTAAAGAAAATGAACCGCAGCCCTAGACATCTCATTGCATTGTTGCATAATTCCACTTTTATTAAACTGTTGACTCTGTTGATGTCCAGCCCACCTAACAAATACTTTCTTGCAGGGCTTATCCCTATTTTAATAAACCCCAGTTATTTGCTAATGGTGTTTAAGTGTCAGTGTATTGGCTGGTTCAATTAAATAGCGGGTCATCACTAGAAATGTTTGCCCAACATTCCCAGCAGCTCTTGTGGGGATCATTGATATACTCCTATTGGCACATGCCTGCTGTGCCTAATGGTAAATCTAGCCCTGAGCATAGATGAAGCTTAGGTTTTTCAGATGCATGAAAAAGTATTTGGACTGCTTTTATTACCTTAATTAAAGGCTGTGCCCAAGTCCTTTCTGGATCTTCATAGGTTATGCATTCAGACATGTCATCTGCGCACCAAAGGTCATTTAGCATGCATATAATTTGTGACAAAAAAAAACTCTTACTTCGTGGCATTTGGTGTGTGAATTACATATTTGAACTTGTACTTGTGGAATGGCACCATGCATTTTGGTTATCCCAGCACCCAGTAAACACGAGGTTGAATTATTGCATAAAGTGCATCTGGAATCTTCATTTATTCGTATCTGCTTTGTGATAGTAACGTATTAGTGTGCTTGTCTGCTTTCACAAAGCAACATTACCTTATATCTGAAATCATCTATTTTTCTATTTGAAGGTGGAGGAAGGAGAAATGATAGAGTTAAATCCCTCCATAATAAATGTGTCAGACATGGATGTGCCCCCAAATCAGTTACTATTCAGTGTTGTTCTGCAACCCCAGCATGGCATGATTTTGGAGAACAACTATGGTACTCACCACATGAAAGAGTTACTTAAAAGTCTGAAGAGTAATACACTTCCTATGGTGCAGGATTTCTCCATGGATCACCTTAACAATGGTAATTATTTATAAAATAAAATAAAATATCCTATAAAAAGTCTTATATGCATGTGATATCCACAAATGTTGTTGTGTTGGGGAAAGAGGTTGGTTTTAGCAATGCAGTGATTTTTATTGGCATTGGCATTTCACATTGCATTGTCCTAAGATATTTGCTTGTCTTAGGCCAACCATAGTGACCACATATTAATGTGTACAACTAATATGTTTTTTATTTCATTAGGTATGAAGCTAGTGTATTTGCATGATGACTCAGAAAACCTTGCAGACAGTTTCACAATCCAGCTGTCAGATGGAAAACATGAGGTCAAGAGAACGATCTTTGTCACTGTCAATGGGATTAATGATGAAAAGCCTGTGCCGACAACGTAAGTTTAATTTTAAAATTCATTATGTGCTATAAGGAATGTTAAAACTGTAAGCATGTTCAAAAATAGATATTTAAACAAGTCAGCAATGGCATTTGAATATCTTCCTTTGCATGTTCACTTTAAAGATTGACTCATGGCAAGCAGCTAAATACACAGTTGAAATACACACATGTGAACTGTTCTGTCAGCCAAAAAGTTGAGATCTAGGTACCTTTGCCAGAAAACACAGTTATGCCACTGACGTCCACTGCAGTTAAATAGTACATTTCAGTCCACACTTTAAAGCCTTCTGATTGGATAATAAAGAAACAGAAGCATTTTGAGGAGTCTGCCATCCTGCTCGAAGCATATTAACTGTGCTAGACTGACCGCACTGTACACTGCAGCAGGTTCTCCTCGTACTGAACCTGCATCTCTTATTCTATGTCCAGCTGTACAGAGGATTACAGGAAGCTGATATAAAGACAAATCATGTACTATTTTCATTGAATGCCGACTTTATGTTCGCTCAGGGGCATATCTATGGAAAATAGCATCAATGGCAAGCAGTGAAATTGCCCCCCCGTTCCGAACATCTGATACCCATACACACAATTTAGTGGCACACATATACACATATACTTATATAGCCTGTGAAGCGGTCCATCTGTAAGGTGTATATAATATGCTACTGCAAAAATGACATTTTGAAATAAGACAAAACATTTGCTGGTGAATTTTATTTTGCAGCTTTTATTTTTGACCAGATGCTTGTCTGATATAGATTTTAAGAGGAAATCCTACTCAAGAAAAAAAAACCCATCACCTTGGGGTTCACCCTTCAAATCCATACCAGACCCTTATCTGAGCATGCAGGCCAGGAAAAGGGGGAGGGCAGCCAGCATGTGACACCCCTCCTGAGTCACACCAGGCTTCATTTACTAAAATTATAAAAAAGGACCAATACATGACTTACTGATAACTGTATATGAACATACAGAGGGGTCCACCCAAGCCATACCATGACAACATGCCATGGTTGGACCCCCCCTGGCAAAGCACCTTGTCCATATGATGATGAGGACAAGAGCTTCTTTCCCACATCTGGTCTCCAAAACCATGTGGGAGGTATGTGGGTAGTGGCTTATCAGACTCTTTAAAATAAAGGGGGGCCTAGATATCTGCTCTACCCCAAAACACTGACCCTTTTGTGAGTCTTTTATGAAAACAAACAAAAAAAAGTCCCATGTTGCACATCCAATATCAACCATCATCAAAAATGATGCAATTCCTTGTCAATCATAATGAATGATGCCGGCAAACCCGCCAAAACAAGAAACATGCTGACTGCACAAGATGCTGCTAATTAGCAAGAAACTTGGGTTGCTTTACTTCTGGAGATCCGCTTTTACTAGATTACCCTTGTGTATATGGGATCTAGTCCGTCAACCGTATCGGTAACCAATTAATAGCGTATAGAAAAAACACTGGGCTGACTGCCTTCAAAGGGGAGGCAGTCAAGGGTTCAACAGAGATTGGGACGGACCAAATTTGAAAGATCATATAAAAAACAGCTTTATTCGTGCATAACCAAGCACCATTCAAACTTAAGAAGACATAGATAAAATCATGAAAGTTCACTGACTGTAAGTCTATTTTGTTCTAGACGGTTGTTATAGACCCTAAAAAAGTTTAAACACCTTTGTTCCAGTCCTTTAGAATGATTCCTCTTTTGCTTACAGATTCTCCTTTGTGTTATTTTAACTGACCTAAAGAAGGTATCAAAAAAGTTGTTTCTTACAGGGTAGATTGTATCCCCATTGTGTTGGTATTTTAGTCAAAAATAACACAGAAAAGGTAATAAGATGGTTTGGATTGTTTCACTAACCCTTCCGTATATCCTTAGTGATAGATACATTTCTCAGAGGAACACGGCTTCATTTATCTCTTCGTGTGACCTCTAGTTCTCACTTTTCCAGTGTACTCTAGTTTTCTGTTCTATCAATACATCAAACTCATATAGCGTCATTATTTATTCTTTCCCACATTTTAGTTTAGAGGATTAACTTAGCTTAGAAGATGCTTCAAAAATAGGAACGGAGGAGAACCAGGAAATGATAAAAGAAAAGTTCCGTTGTTTTAACTCACATAGCCTTTGAGGGGATATCTTCTTATTCTTGTCTAGGAGAACCTTGTGATCGGTTTTTCCTCCTTGCTGTCAAGTCCGTGTTTGCCTCGGCCGAGGGTGTATATGAAAGACAAGTATATGATATCTTTTGTCAGATCCAAAAGAGTCGGTACTTTCTTTATCAGTAAGGATATGTTGAGAGCGTCCGAAGGAAGGGATGTTGGAGCGTGTTAAAGGTCTGGATTTGAGGAGCAAGCTGTTTGTTTTAGATTTGGGTCATCCAGCCATTCCCATGTGCAGCGTCTACACGTTTCGCCCCTCCCCCAGGGGCTTCGTCAGGACGTCCTGTGTTTTTTCTATACAAGCTGCTGCTAACCTGATGGATTTCTAGATGCGAATGACAGCCCCTTGCCCAGCAGCTGATTATAAACAAAGAGGTGGAGTTGCTAGTGATGTAATTGACCAAATATGGGCATGGGGCCATATTAGGTCAATGTTGTCACCAGCATTTCAACCCCTTGGTTACATGCTGGGAGATCTCAGATTACAGTTGAAGAGGGTTCAAGATTCTACAGGGCTTTTAGCAGTCATATGCTTATTTTGACCAAGGCTGCAGGCTGCAGGCTTAGCAGTGTGGTGAGACTTTCTGACAGAATGATTGAACTCAATTGTTCAAGGCTCTGCATGATCTCTAAGCAAATATAGTGGTTGTGATGGAGCTCAAGCTCAGTGCTACTTACATCAAAAGTCAGGCCCCGTCCCTGTTTCAGAATTTTTAAATCTTTCTCGGCTTGACTCTATACATTAAAATCACCAAAAAGAAAAAAAAAGAAACTAACTGAAATCATATTGGTCCAAACACCAAATCCACTACATGCCCATGTATTCTTCTGTCATGTCCAGAACACAATATCAAATGACAGATTTATAGATTTCAATGACAATTTTCTGTGCCTTCCCAGAGCTGACCTCACAAATGATAAGCTCCACAAAATTAAGCATCTCACCAATTCCTTTTCCCAAAAAATTTTGGAAACGTATACAACCTCAGAAAACTATCTGAACTGGCACATTCAAAGGTCCCCCTGATTTGATGCTCGCTCCTTCATTTTAAAGATCCCTTTTCGTAAGAGCCAGAAAGAGGACTAAGAAGCTCTATCGTGCCTCTAGCCTATTATGGCAGGCTTATTCATTTTGATTGATGCCAATTAGGATTATTTCACAGTGCAATCAATATAATACAGACATATAAAATACAATGCAGAGTAACAAAATAATCCCATGTTCCACTGGCACATTTTTAAAGACAATTTGGCATTCCACAGACCAAAAAAGCTCTATTGACAGGCATCTAGGATATAGGTGTGCAACATGAGCACCAACAGGTCTTGTCCTAAAAAATGCTTCAAGTCACTCTGTAAATTTCAAACAACATAACCCTAGAATGAGAAACTGGTGTGATGGCATAAGATATGAAACTTTAGACCCCCATATTGTCAGTTTTACAATAGTTAAATCCGGGAACCATTTTTGGTATCTTAGAACTATGACAGACAGATAAAAGGACAGTTAGAGAAATACCACCCTGACTTCAAGGATGCCAAATTAGACCCTAGGTTAATACTATACGGTGCCTTCAAAAACTTATAGCTGAACAATCTCACAAAATATTTGTTAATGATGAATATTTTTTTCCTGCAGGCACTGTGAAGTAGTACTAAGCATGGGTGAACATTACATTATTTCAAGTGCTGTACTGTCAGCAGAAGATAAAGATACGCCGCGAGAGCAAATTCACTATGTGATTGAAAGCATTCCAGATCAAGGACAACTTCAAATGAAGGCTTGTACCAGCTCTTTTAAGCTCATTTAAATATGCTTTATTTTTTCGCTCTGTATTATTCTGTCATTATTTTATTTGTTTTCATGCATAATGAGTGTTAGGACAATATTAATTGATTCTCAAATATAATGTTTAATTGAGCTAATACATTCAAGTACAAAAGTAAGTAAGTGATAAGTCTATCTTTGTTTCCTTATATAGAGCCATATGGTACGCTCATATTTAAAGCTGAATGTATATACCACCAGCACTCCTTAGTTCAATGCAAAAAATGCATGTCGCAAAAAAAATGAGATGCTTTGAGACCTGCACAGGGTCTCTTTGTCAGACAAAGTGACAGATTTAAAGCAGGACTCAAGGCAAATGACTAAATACATGGTTAAAATATGTTTATTATTTTACGTGTCAAAGGGTTTGTAATTCTGTAGAGGCAGCCTTCTGATGGGCCACCTTGCACAGCCAGAAAGAGCATTCTATTTCTCCCTGGTTCAGCTTTCCTAGATCCCCTTCCATGACAGGAGTGATGATGCTGATTGATTGCCAATAAGTAGAGTGGGAGAGGTAGGAAGCTGCCTTGTTGACCCTAGAAATAACTATGTTGCCTACCCAGCTGGGAAAGGTGGCAGATGTACATATTAGATTTACAGAATGACTAATCCTTTGACAGGTAAAAAAAGTAAGTAAGTATGTAAACTGCATATTTAGCAGTTTGCCTGTAGTTCCAGCTTAATACTTTTAGTCACTGTCCTGGAAGAAACATGCTGATCAAACAGTAAGTGCGAAGTCAGCCCTTCCAATCTGCATACTTGTTTTAAGCTAGTGCCTCAAAAAGTAATGACTGGGTTAGCATCTCAGCCCAGAAATAGGCATTTCCAGAAGGAGAGATGGCTATTTCAGATGTTAAAGTATTACAAAAGGCCTGGCATTTTTTTTATCTTATAGCATTCTATGTATTAAGGTAAAAAATGCTCAGTACCTTTCTATAATATAACCTTTCTTTCCCATCCCCCCACACTTATCTGTGGTTGCTCGTCTCCTCTACCGGGACCAGGAAGATACGTATTTTTCTGGTCTCTGCGGAGGAGACGAGCGACCACAAGTGTGGGGGGTATAGGGCATTCCCCGAACTTCCTGGTTGTAGGGTAGATTCCTTCTGCCGTCGGTCAGACTGTGGACGCACACCGCTAGGTGCAGGAACACGCACGCATGGGTGTCTCCTCAGCTGTTGGTTGGCTGATGGAGATACCCACAATCAGGGGGCGGGGCTAGTGGTTTGATGAAATAAAAAAAGTTGAAAGGAGAAAAGTAAGTCTGGCCCTCATAATCATAAAATGAGAAAACAATTCAAGTTTAATTTCACTTTAATACACACATTGCGCCATACAGTATACTGTATATAGATATACAATATAGAAAAAAATATTAATGATGAGGCAGCCAAACCAAAAGTAAATATGTGAAATACAACTAATTTTGATGACTGAAGAAAACTGGGAATAAAGAATCTAACTGGATATTATGAGCAGCAGAGCCAGTTTTGCTGAAGTTTTCATAGCTGCTAATAGACATGTGCGATTTTGTTTTTTTTCCAAATTGAAATGCATCCGAACTTTTTCTGAATGCCATTCTGAATTAATTTATGTTGTTAAACATTAAAATTAAATTAAAAGAACAGCAAAAGTCCTATCTCCAATTCATACCAGACACTTTAGGTCTGGTAGGAATTTTAAGGGGGACCCCAACACCAAAAAAAAAGTGTAGGGTCCCCTGGAAATCCCTTACCAGACCCTTGATCTGAGCAGCAGCCTAGCAGAGCAGAAAAGGGGGGACAAGCATGCAGCCCCCCCCTTTCTGCACCATACCAGACCACATGCCCTCAACATGGGGTGGGTGCTTTGTCAGGAAAGGGTCGATGAGGACGCTGGGCGCTGCAGGCAGGGGAGCTTAGTGCCCAATTTCATAAAGGGGGCACCCAGAGGCCTCCCCCTTGTGAATGAGCCCTCCCCATGTTGAGGGCATGTGGGATGGTATGGTGCAGGGTGCAGGTGCATTTTTCTGCTCTGCAATGCTGCTGCTCGGATTAAGGGTCCGGTATGGGATTTTAAGATTTTAGACCTAAAGGGTCTGGTATGAATTGTGCTGCAACAAAAATTTGTTTGTAAATATTATTTATGAAAATTAATGAAAATTTGCGGATTCATCCAAATCCAAATCCCCAAACGAATTGACTTTCTGATCCGAATCCAAAAAAAGAAATAACGAAAAATCTGGACCGGAAAAATGTTTTTGCTGGCACACATGTCTAGCTGCTAACAATGAATAAGCTCCATGTGATCACATGGAAACTGTTGCAACTGGTTGCCCTGTGCTACAGAATATAACACCCGTTATCAACTTGGACTTTCTTTTAGAAAAAGCAGCTAATCTAGCAGTTAATACTTACCTTCCCAGCCACTGGCTAGTTCCAAGTGCTGTCATTTGGGAAAGAGGTGTGTGCATAGCCCTGCATAGCTTTTGGTGTGGCAGTGGGGGGTAACATGGAGAAGGTAAGTAGTAATTTCCAGCGGTGTTTCTATTTCTTAGTATAATCTAGGTAAGATACAAGTTCGCTAAAAGAAATTTATGACAATTGTGCTTCCAGTTTTTGTTTCTCACTTTCATTAGTACATTAAGATCTGATTCCAAAAATATACTAATCTAGTTAAGATACAAGTTCACTAAAGGAAATTCATTACAATTGGTCTTACAGTTTTTGTTTCTCACTTCCAGTAGTACATTAAGATCTGATTCTAAAAATATACTAATAAGCATGTCATTTTATGAAGTGTTTTTCTGTTATCTTAGACAAATAACATCTGGGGGAACATACAGGCTGGTATGAAGTGCACTCAAGAGGACATTGACATGAACCTAGTTAGATATGTGCACACTGGGATAGTAGGATCAAAGAATCAAGACAGCTTTACTTTTCACTTATGGGATGGCAGAAACAGATCACCACAAATGCAGTTTCACATCACAGTCAAAGATATGGAGAAGGGTACGTATATGGGACTGAATCTATCTAAAAATGTATAAAGAAGCATTGAAAAATGACGGCAGAAAAAGGCAAAGTGACCATGTTTTCCATCAAGTCGGCCTTTTTTTTTTTTTTACATTATTTTTTTAAACAGTAGTTTTTTTAATTGTATTTATTTTTGTTTGCTTTTTCCTCTTTTTGTTGAATATGGACCTATGTTTATCCCAAGCATGCTTAGATTAATTAACTACCTCTGCTGGAAATCTGTTCAAAGCATCCACTGCCATGTCACTGTGTCCTTGATCTTGAGCTTCATACTGAAAATATTGCCCTCCTGACCCTTATTCACACCCAAATGTATTTAAAGGTTTCAGTCATGTAGCCCCTTTCCTGTCTTTCCTCAGTACTGTACATATTATGTTCTTGCAGATTCTCCTGATATGTTTTATCCCTTAAGATCTTTCAACATTTTTGTTGCCCATCTCTGGACTCTGTCTTATCAATATCTTTTTGTAAGTGGATCTACAAAACTGGACACAATATTCTAAATGAGATCTTACTAAAGCTGGCGATCCTAGAATATTTGCTTTCCCCACTCCCTGGTCACACTATGTGTTCATTTTGCAATGTATCAAATTGTATCAAATTGTATCAAATCAAATAAGTTAAGTACAACACTACTGCTCATGAGCTGGTTTTACCCACTTCTGTATATAGCTTCATGGCCTGTATAGGGCTTGTGGGGAAGAGGCCCTTGTCCCCATTGGCACGGGGACAGGGTGCTTTTCCAGGGAAGACCCTGGAAAAGCACCCTCCCGGTGCCGAAGGCATGATGCCTGGTATGGGAGGGAGGAGGGGGCACACGCCATTTTTGGGGGTGTGCTTCCTCCTTAAAATTCCTACCAGACCTTAAGGGCCTGGTATGACTTTAAGGGGGAACCCCCACACACTTTTTTTATTTTTTTTAATGGGGTCCCTCCTAAAATTCCTACCAGGCCTGTAGGGCATGGTATGACTTTAAGGGGGAACCCCACACACTTTATTAACTGTTTTTTCTTACATGGGGCCCTTTCTAAAATTACTGCCAGACCTTAAGAGTCTGATATGACTTTTTGGGGGAACTCCACGCTTTTTATTCCTAATGGGGTCCCTCCTAACATTCCTTACCTAAAGGGTCTGGTATTGGGTCAGCTTTGCTGCAGCAGGTTCTATACATCGTACAGATGTGTCACGTTACAGGCAAGTTCAGGGGACCCCCCAGGCACGATATTTAAAGGATTTATTTCATTTTTATTGTTACCCTTTAAGTGATGTTAAAATCACTGCTCCTTTAAAAACTGTATTTTTAGAAAGATTTTTTTTTCATTGATTCATGCCCCCCAGGGCAGTACCCGGATCCCCATACACTTTTTATGACCAATGACTTGCATATAAGCCCTCTTAAAGGGGACAATTGTTTTTGAAAGTTCTACCCCCATAGACTTTCATTGAGTTCGATTTAGAACTTTTTTGATGTTCTAAAGTTCGAATTCAAACTGAACTCAGGCCTGTTCGGCCCATCACTACTGTTCACCACCAACAAAAAGCATGATCTCCAGATGTTTCTTACAAGCTGGTTTGGCTGACCAGTAATTGAGCCAAAGGACCCTGTGCATTGGGTTATAAATAAGGCCTATCCTGGACACTTGGCACATCCCCCAAGCTATCTACACAGTAGAGCAAAGATGTAAGCTCCAGCTGTTGTAAGTGGAAGGTTATGTAAGGATAGACCCAGGGTCTTGCGCCATATGTTTGGTCAAGACAGCTTAGACAAATAGATATGGCAACAACCACCGGTTGCATAGCTGGGCCCATGAGGCCTTAAAGAGTGCCTCAAATCACTTTTGATTCCACAGAATCAAAGTCACCTAATTTTCTGTGTGATTTCTGCAAGTGCAACTGGTTTCTATTGGATATCACATTTACATATCATCATTGCCCTTTGTGCCCACTGAATAAGCCTAACAGTGTTTTCCGATGGTGAGTTGTTACAATATACAAATCATTTTTAAATCTATAAATAAATACTGCATGTAGTGTATAGCACATTTCATCATAATGTTTGTGTCCTCACATGTTTTATTTGTCCCCAGGAGACATTGTAGTGTCTTTGAAAATGCTCCATGTGTCAAGAGGTGACAGAGCCATCATAAGTACTGATGTGCTCTTTGCTTCTGATGGCACTGACAAACCAGAAGAGTTGCTCTACGTGCTCTCCTCACCGCCTCAGTACGGCCAGATTGAATATGTCAACCACCCTGGAATTCCCATAACAAGCTTCAGTCAGATGGATGTGGCTGCTCAGACTGTCTGCTACTTCAACAATGGCAAAACTGCAGCTGCTGCTGATATGTTCAAGTAGGTGTCTAGATGGCAAACCTCTCCTGTCTGTCTTTTTATTCTGAGCTAATAGATGATTTATTAACCTAATCTCCCCACTGCCAGGACACCACTGTGGGGCTCAGCCTTTCCTGGCACCAAAGAAACAAGTGAAGTGTTTTTGAATCAATCTTTGTTGCAAAGCTTGATTCCACTTTTCAAAATTACCAGTTTGATGTCTAGTAAAATAGGATGCAGTATCTTTTATAAGAAGTAACAGATCTTTGTTTCATTGACTGAAATACTGTTACTTTTCCTACTTTTTAATATTGAAGCTATTAATAATCTGTTGGTGACCAGAAGAATTTAATATTATGCAAAATATACAATTTGATAGTTTTCAAAATAAATATACCTTCCCACAAAATAATGATTATAGTGACACAATGATTTTTTAGCAGGAGGGTTATTAGCAGAACCTTCGAAAACACTGACATACTAGAGTCAGTTCACTAAAGCATAACGCATTCTGTGTTTTCATTACTTTAAATTATTTAATAATTTTTTTATAACTGACAATTATGTTTTTAATTCAGTGAAGGGCTTTGTTTGCAAGGATCAGATGAATTTACAGAACACACCTTTATAATATCGATTGTTTGCAGTATGAGTTTAATAAGTACGTTTTTATGAGGTGTCTATTGAGAAGAGCAGGAAAACTAGTCATGTAGATGAATATAAAAAGGATAAGGTAATAAAAGACCTAGCTCTAGACAAGAAATGCCAAGTGAAAAGCCTAATGTTTGGCATTATGTCTCAATTTTCTTAAGCAAATACATTTTTGTGAATCAGTTGCAAAGTTCTGGTCAGTGACAGCACTTTTTGTTTCAGACTGACAATGCCAAACCACTTTTTCACATTTGGTATTAGCATTTTCAGCCTTCTGTGTGAGCTCCTTCAGCTGGCTGTTGGTCTGGCTGTCTATCAGATATATGAGGCAGCCCCGTAGCCACATTAGGCTGACAACACTGCTGCTAGTCATGAGTTAGTGGCATACTGTCAGCCTGCAGAAAGTTCTATTACTGCCAATATTTCCAGGAAAGAAACTTTGAGACAGATTCAACAAAAACTATTTACTTAAACTGTATACAATGAGGCACAATGCCAAACACGCTGAAACATAGATGTAGGGTTTACATACACTTTAATTACAAAATTGTGCTAATAAACACACTTAAAACTCTAACAAATCTTAGTAAATGGACCCTACAGCTTAAATTAATAATATCCTAAGAGCAATCAACAGATAATGTGGGTTGGTGGCAGAAAAAAAAATGGCAACTGCTTATCAATTTAACAAGGCAGTGCACAATGGGAGGAACATGTAAGTGCACAACACAAACATTCCCCAGCAAATCACCAATTGCCAATCAGTAAAGATGATCAGTTCTAGTTGGTTCACTGTCTTGATTCCATACATTTAGAAACATATGTAAAAACTGTGTGACCACCCTAATGCAGTTCTTCTCTATTAACAGCACCAAGTCCGCTCTAAGACTCTAGCAGGCTATCCACAATAGGGCTGTTTCCTCTTGTTTACATTTTATAGGAACAGTTCCAATTGGTTTTACTGTATTTTAAATATTTTTCATTTTGACTTATTATAAAACTTGACACATTTTATTGTGGCATAAAAAAATCCAATAAACAGAAAGCTTTGGGGCCCTGTGTCATTAAAGAATTAATAGGCAAAAACTGGAAACATGTATGCTCTTGAGTGTTTTCAGTAGCTGCTGCATCTGGTGGCGGCATGATGGCACCTGGTGGTACAGTGTCGTCTCACAGGAGATTGTCACTGGTCCAGCTTAGTGATATAAAACTGCTTTGTTTTAGAATAGAAATATAATTAGGAACCCTAAAACAAAGACTTGTTAATTTTTAAAACTCTTTTAATTAACATTTCTTGCTGTTAAAAATCTGGCAGGAGCCCCCATGTCTGCTAACCTGGTGTTCTTCCCTTGGCTGTATTCGGGAGCTGGCCAGAACAGCCGGGGCAACATCAATTAATGTGTGTCTGAGTGATCAGATTTAATGTTCCACTATTGCACTTTCCGCAAGTCTGAAATATTACTACGTATTGTCTGGTGCTTCTGGGCTGGAAGAAGAATGTGGCACTTCATGTTTGGACAGATGACACCGAGTGATTAGCAACCCCTGACATCAGGTGCCGGCAGCGGTATGCCAAGTACAGAAGCAAATGTCCTCCATTTTGACACGCTGGCTTGATTCTGCATTGAATTGGCACTATTTACTGCTCCTCTGCATTTTTTTTCTCTTTATCTTTTCAAATTCCATGACAGATGGCAGCCTCTGTAGCCAGTTCCATCACCATGGAGCTGCAGGCAGCACAGAGGATCTGTAATGTTCAATTGAAGATGTGGCCCCTGCTGAGCACCAAAGCCTTTCACTCTCAGATTTTAACTCTTTCAGCTTAGCCAGTTATTCACCAGAGTTGTGGCATAGAGCAGTGAATTAGTGGAGTATTGCTGATACACTGGATCTGTAGAACTATACTGACATAAAGTTTTATCTGCCTGCTAAGAATTATTTGCCAGCGGATTTATTTGAGCATCTCAGCTCAATAAAAAACTTTGCTTTTTAAGGATGATTGATTACCCTGGCTAAAAGGAAAACAAAATCTTACAGCTTTTTTTATTATATTGGTGGTTTATTGCAATACATTGGAGATCAAGATACAAGCATAATGAGAACAGGACCATTTTATTCAATGGTTTATCTCACATCTATGTGGTTATATGTGGTATGCTTTGACAGCACATTCTCAAACTTCTGCATGCAGTAGTTTGGGTGCACTTTACATGCAGTGTTGGGATAGGCACCCTATTAGGAAAGCTTTCCACTACACTAAAACTGCAATTTAAAAAATCTTAGGTCTTTTTGATCCAGGGTTTTTTCATTGCTCAGATCTGAATAGCCCTTAGTGTGTGTGATGATACTCTTTAATATAATGCCATCCCTAATTTTAAATGTATGCTTAACATAAAGTCTTCTCCCTATTAAGGGAAACAGCAATCTGGGCAAGTGTAAGCAAAAACTAAATAACTAAAATGTAAGAGTCAAACTAAAGGTATTTTTAAGCATCAATTAAAACTGTGCTAATGCTTCTGGCAATAATGCCAACTCACGTCCTAGCACTTCATTTCTTCATAACATTTGGTCCTTAAAGGAAAAATGAGAAGCAATATTTTCAAGACATGCCACCTGAGGGGACCTAAGTACAAATGATAGTAGTGATTTAATCTTGTTTAATCAACATATGTGACTTTGACACTATAGAGAGTGAAGCACAAGCACTTGTTCCCAGAAATTCTCTAGAAAGGGATTTGCTGTTGCAGTTTAGAAAATTGTAAGCATGCAGATAACTACACCCACCACACAGATAAACACACTCTTCATCCTTCCCAGCAGTTTATAGTTAACTTTGTTGAAAATTGAATTAAAATAGGCAAAGTCAAGGAAAAGATTTACTTTCCTTAAACAAATCATATAGAGACGGACGCATGAAACGTGCTAACAGAATAGTATTTTGATGCCTATAGCAGTCAGCAGTTTGTAGTAGTGATTTATTTTCACATCATGGACTGCAGAAATGATAGTTGAAGTTAATCAGTTGCAAGGAGAACAATACATTTTTCTTATAGCATACTTTTCATACATCAGCCCCAAAGGCTGTAAGGTCCTAGGAGATCTAAGATGTTCACAAACTGCTAGGAAAACCTTTGAGTAAAGGTATGTTATTTCTTTTGTGTAGATGGTGAAACAGGAACACATGCTGAAGGCTACCTCTTTTTGCCAGATTCCTTGTCAGTAATGGGCTGCAGACAAAGCATGGGACCTTGCTCGTTGCTGTGGAGATGGTTGATAGGACTCCACCAACATTATCCAAAAACTACGGTCTTAAGCAGATGAAAGGATCAGTAGCACTGATCTCTCCTGACATTCTTCAAACCATGGATCCTGACACAGCAGCCGAAAATATTACATATATGTTAAAGGAACACCCTCAATATGGACAGATATATTTGAGAGGTTCACTTCTGCAAAAAAACAACTTTACCCAAAGAGATATTGATAACATGCATGTTGCCTATAGACACAGAGGCCAAGATGCTCAGATTGACAAGTTCACATTTGTTGTGACAGACAGGTCAAATCAAGGGTTTCTAATCGATGGGAAAGTGCAGTTTGATCCAGTACCTTTCATCATACAAGTAAGTGTTCAAACATAATATCGAAAAAAATTACCAATTTGCCATAGTTAAACGCTGGCATTTAGGATGGTGTGAGGCTAACCAAATAAAGTTAAATTGAAAGAAAACTCTTTTTTACTAAAGTGACAAATGATCATCACCCAGATGAATCAGTTGGAAGTAAAGATTCAGAAAGTGCTTAATCTCTGTGAGGTTCTTGTTGCTGTCTATAACATTTTTCTTTCACTAACTCAGCTATTTTTGTATTGCTATTAATGTTTTTTTAGATTTTACACAATTTTTACTGCAAAATTTACTAATGGTTTCATGTAGCTTAGGAACCAAAAATGTGATTGCTAATATAATAACTGACAGTAATATTTCTCCACTCTCCAATCTATAATCCAATTGCTTCTAGTGCTTCTAGGCAGTTTTTATTGATTCCCTTGATAAAGATATTTATTAATTTTTTTTAAAAACTGCAAAAAGGACCTATGAAAAAGTAATGAATTCAGATACTTGATTTTACAGACTTTTTATAAATAGACCTCACATGTGAACTGGAAAAATTAGCTACACTCTTGGGTGTTACTGTCCAGTGACTTCATGTTCTACATTTCTCCCATGCATTTTCTGAACATCTGGCATGACAAATGTTGGTACTTCAACTTCCACCTCAGCTAGATAGATGGAAGCAAGTCTGATGGTACATGTTTATTTCACACAGGCTATTAGCAATAAAACTACATCTAATCTGACACTATATTCCGTAAGTAATGAATGGAAAGAAAGCTGAAATGAGTGCATTTAATTAGGCTATTGTTTAGTAAGTCTTCATATATCTCATTGTTATGTAAATTTGGGAAGTGCATTTGAAACAAAAGAACTGCAATAGAAAGAGGAATTAAACCACCCCAAATAAACATGAATCTCATATTATAGTAAGGAGGTCTCAAACTCAGTAATGTCTGGGGAATTGTATAGGGGATGGAAGTATCTATTATTGCTTCACTCTGACAGACAAAGTATGGCTTCCATCCAAGAACATGAAACTACTCCCCATTGTCTGCAATACCAGGATTCTTCAGAGAATGCAGAATTGGGGCACATTGCCAGCAAACAGTGATTGCCATTATCTTTAGTTCTTGTTGACACTTAAACTGAGAAGTAAATTTGAAAGACAACACTAAAATACATCAGACCCTCTAGTATGCATGTAGCTAATTTCTAGGCCTTCTTAGTCACTCTTCTGTGGAAGCTATACTGCCTGAATTAACAAGGTTTGACTGTCACATGGGTTTTCCCAGGGAAAACTCAGCTAAATCAAAGTAGAGTCCTATCAGTTCTTTTAAAATGTTGGCTTCGTATACAGACAGTAGCAAATGGTCAAGAGTTTTTATTTGGACATTGGATAACGTTGGCAGATGCAATGCATGTTTCACATTTTTGGGGCAGTGAATGCATGGATGAGGGCACACACTGACACTTAGTACAGGTGCAAAGTGTGTTTATACAAACACATTGCAAACAATGCATTACACACTTCCCTCTTTCTGGTATTTCCAGATGTTTCTGGTTTACATTTGTTCCCCATACAAACATTTGCTCTAATATAAGAGTGCAGTACAGGCAAAAAGCACAGGATGTTATCAGGTAACAAGATTTCTGTCAAGTAGTATTTTTTTATCAAATTCACATAAAATTTATGTAATAGTATATTTAACAGTCCAAAAGGGAGCACATAGGAGAAGTCCATTGTTAGAGTGTACATGCACTTTAATTTTGGAATTTCAAAAGAAATATTTACCAAAAGTCTTTGTAAATGAGTTCTAATGAAATGTGTGACATTATTTTGTTACCTAATGACACCAGACTTGTTGTGGGAGTTTGGTGTAGTTGTACACAACTAGAATTGCACAATTCTGGTTCCATCTAAGCTTAAAACTTTACCAAAGCACTCTCAGAGCCATGAAGTGCTTCAAGGCAACACTGGGACACCTATACAGCCCTGGCATTTTAAAAATACATGACAATAATTTGTTAGGAAATAGTGTTTGCATTGGCACTTAGCCACTAATGCCAATGTCCTATCGCATGTGTATAAACTATAATAATTTATTACTATTTTATCTAATCAGGATTCTCTAAGACTAGGCTGTATAGCCTGCTTTATGCCAGCCTACATATTGCCTTAGAGAAACCGGCCATCCTGAAACACCAGAAAAGTCCAGGCCTGTCAAATACATACTTTATGCTTGCTACACAATTCTTTACATTTAATGATCATTCATTGACAATCTAAAATTACTTTGAATTTTCTGTATCAATTTTGTTTGCATAGGTGGACTTTCCAGATGACACCAGTCCCAAAATAGTCCATCTTCAGTGTGCTACTAAAGTCCAGCACATTAGAGATGGCCAGTATGGAATCTACATTACATCTAGGGAATTAAAGGCTATTGATCCTGGGACAGAGGATGAAAACATTATCTTCAAGATATTAAATGGACCTCACAAAAGTTACCTGGAAAATGTAACATCAGGTAAGTGGAAACAGATAACTGCTACACAACACAGTTCTCATAGGCTATTGTGAGCATGCATATTTCTAGGCATTGGAATACTCTGTTAAGTAACACAAATATTAAAGTCTTATAAAATATGCTGATATGCACATTTTATTAAATTTTACTCCTTTTTTTAAAACCATTTGTCTTGATAGGTGGAATTATAAAAGAACAATTCACTCAAAAAGATTTAAACTGCAAATCTATATTGTACACCATAAATCCCTCACTTGATGTGTATGATGATGCTATAGAATTTGAAGTTTCAGATCCAGCTGGAAACAAAGCTTTACCACAAATGTAAGTCAAGACACATGGCATTTTTTGTGTGTAATTGGTCATTTTGATTGAGCAGTCTTCAATGTATAATCTCATCTAATAAGAAAACCGTATTACTGGACTGTATCAAGAGAATACATCTCAGCCCCTCCACATATCTTGTTTTCTTTATGATACTGTTTGGTGCCTCTGCTTGTAGATCAGACAGTTGTGACATTGTACACTAGAAATTGATCTTGTCCAAAATTGTTCAGGAATATGCTACCTTAAACAATATTATAGAGTTTCTAGTGCAATACTACTAGGTTCTTACATACCTGTATGAGTATTTAAAGTCCACAACCTTTACTAACTGCATGTCCACGTCAGAGTACCTCGTCCATTTGCCAGATCCAGACCACACATAACTTATCTATATAAGTTATTGATCCCAAAGGCTACACATTATTTCACTTCTGCCAGAGGAAATAATCTATCTCGGTGATCAGCTTCAAATGTTGAAATTTTATAGCATGCTCTCCACATTGATACAGGGTACATACATTGCAAGTTCCAATTTTGGTAACAGGTGTTGCACACCCAGTCAAGTTTCCTCCAGCGTCGTCAACAGGACCTAATGTGCACCTAATGTTTTTGTTGTGGTAAAGGGTATTATGGGGCTCAGTTGTTGGCCCAGCACCAAAACCTCCCCCTTTTCAGTGGGGGCTTGGAACCAGCCACTGAATTCATTTTGCCAAAAATGTCTATGGAAAATACTAGGAGCACCTGTATCTAAAAAACAATCCATGTAATCACGTTAAAACAAAAAAGATAGGAGAATGCACACTTCAAAAATATGGGTAAGCATCATCAAACTCAGACGTTATATTGTAAAACCCATAGTAACAATGGGATCACTAACATCAAACTATTACATGACAAATGCAAATTGTTTAAAATATAAAACTAGTAACCCACCGATGGTTGAGACCCTATAGAATCTAGGTTTTAAATAATAAAGCCTAGTAGTCCACCTCATGGGATCATGGCTTCAGCCTCATCATGGGATGAGGCTGAAGCAATTACAGAATTTGATGGAGAGCACTAACTGTCTAATGGACATAATTGTGCAGGAGGAACTTAGTAAGTACTAAGTAATAGTATGCTTTACTTTATCTGAAGTACTTAGTACATCAGGTCTATGCCAAGACTATACCATTATTGTCTCAGAATAGGGGCAACCATTAGATAAGTTGTATGTATGTTTATGATTTTTACCCTTCTATTCACATGCTTCCAAAATGGAAAAAAAAATAGCACTAACAGATAATTTGGTGGGGCAGCAATAGTGTCATGGACATAGATCACTATATAAACTTTATGGATCTAAAAGCTCACATTTAGCTCACATTTAGGTAGCAAAGGTAAGGACACAAGTATCACATTAAAGATTTTTCACTCTCCCTGGGTGACAACTATTGCAGGTTCCAGTAAATGTCATATGCACTTGCATGATCTTTCTTGTGCTTGAAAGTCTGCAGTCATTTAAGTGTTTTTTGGGGGGCCATACAACAACATGATCATCTGTATAGTAGAGACTTAAAGGTACCTTAAATGTCCTTAACAAATTAGCTATTCCACACCCCCTACACCTACCAACCACCTTATCTGTCCTATGCATCAATTACATTCAAACTTAAGAAAACAAATTACTAAAGATTATTAATTGATCATACTTACCAAATTTTGTATACCAGTAGCTAATACCACCTAAAGGAGAACTATGGGGTTAAGGAGTTTCCCCATAGTTCTCCTTAGGGTAACGGGAGCATACAAACTAGCGTCCTCCCGTCACCCTAGGCTCAGTATACCGCGAGCTGTAGCTCACGGTATACTGAGACGCCGCAGCTGAAGCGGATCCTGACAATTATGCCGGGATCCACCCAGCTGCGTGACTGACAGCTGGCTCTGCCTATCTAGAGGCAGAGCCAGCTGTACCCGCCCCCTCCCCCGTCCGTTCCGCCAGTCAGCGCTGGTGGATCGGAGCGGGGAATCCAGCCCCTCCCCTGTCACGGCAGAGAGCCGTGACAGGATCGAGAGGTGAGCAAACGCCGGTATGTGTTCGCTCACCTCCCGATCTACTGAGCCGACCTGTGACAGTCTCATTGTCACAGGTCGGCTAGAACTGAGGTGAATGAAAAGCACTCACCTCATAGTTCTCCTTTAATAAATACAACTCTTAAATTGAAAAGTTCTTATGATTCATATATATTTTTTTTTGCAACAATTGTAAAGTTTAAATCTTTGAAATCTGGTTAGCAAGAAGATTTTTCAGGCTTAAAATGTAACATATACAGGTTACAGGACAAGTTCACTTTCAAAGCAGTTTGCATCAGTATAATACAGTTAACAACTGAGGGAAACTACAGCAAACACACAACTGTCATAGATCAATCAGGCCTATCCACATCCCTGCATTGTAGTGCAGTGTTAACGTAAATACAACTTGAGTTGTATGAGTTTTACTGCATCGGTGTGCGTTTTGGTGGGCAAAAGAAATGATTTTTTTTAACACAGTTTACTATACAATACATAACACATGCTGGAAAACACGGCAATAATGCATGTTGATGTGAATTACAAATGTACAGACCTGCATGCAATTTTGTACAAAGCAGGATGTGAATTCAGCATAAGCAGTACCCAGGAAATATTGAGACATATTGGAATTTTTAAGAAAACAAAATATTAAATCATTCCCTATATTAGGAAACAGCAGCAGGTCATTGTTTTAATAATTTTCCTTTATAAATGTGTATGTTAGTTTATAGTCCAAATTGTCACCACTAGATGTCCTTCTTGACTTGTGATCCAGTGTTTGCCAATGTACAAAAGTAAGCTGGTAATGAACCTCTTATTGGATCATCTATTTTAGAGATGTTTAAGCAATACCTAAAAACAAATTTAACCTCAGTATAGGTATATTGCTGTCCTTTGAGAATTGCAAATATAGGACTGGGCCTAGGAAACGATCCTGTCATTTATAACAGGCTATAGTTGTGTAATGTACAGAATAAGTAACCATACGGCTTAGGTTTTAAACCATTACCAGCTGTGGTTATAAGCAATTATCCCATCTGCAGTTTTTGTTTTTTTTTGTTACTAAGTTTATATCTGTAACATGTTTAGTTGCACTGATCTTTGCTTTTTATTAATACAAGGCTATTATGGTAGAACAAACCATTACAGTCAAATAAGCCCACAAATCCTCACATACACACCAGCTTTTCTGGAAAATTCAACATTTGTCATGCTGCAAGTCTGGTACAGAGTGTGGATGAAAAAAAATTCACATCCACAATTGTGCATTCAACCTTTTTGAAATTTGATCACTCTGCTTTAATGTTTGTATAACGGGGATCCCTATCCATTCCTGTGTTGAGCTGATACGATTCTAAACACATAACTTTTTTTGCCGGGTTTGACCTCCACTGGGTCATTTTAGAGGTCCCTAAACTGGTTGCGGATATTTTTAACACTCTTATAATGTCTGTGATAGCCAGGCTTATACTGTATTTTCAGTACAGAGCATGCATGTTTTCTCAACCTGTATTATTAAAAATGTCCTACAGTGTGGATGAAAGAGATTATAAAGGTTAACTCTTTATGGGCAGAGGTATGTTAGTTCTTTTAGTCTCATAAACAGAAATAAATGGTTTATTTTAAAAAATGATAAATATTGTATGTCAACAGCACATCATGGACCCATATCATATAGTCCAGATATTTATTAAAGTGATCACATAATTAGTGTAGGTGCAGTGTTTTAGGGCCACTCACTAAAAGGGCAGACTGGGCCACCAAAGCATGAAGGATGCCCTTGTAAGCCCCAAGTATGTGGCCAAAAAATGTGATAAGAAGTTCCTTGTGGAGGTGGGGGTCTGTCATTTTATAGCTTTTACCTCTAACTTTAATTCCTGTTAAAGGCATGCCTGCTTCTATGTGCTGACTGTTCCACCCCCGGCAATGTCATTTCCATCAATTGTCACAGTGCACTGCAACTTCAGCAAGTCACTAACACGACTGATAGCTGCCATCTGGCTGCAACCCACCCTCTTTCTTCCACTCTGCCAGCATCCTTTGTTGCTCGGCAGTGATGCGCACAAGAAGTAAAGTCCTCCTTCTCCCATCAGTACCCTCCACAACCTGAATATAAACTAGCCCATGCAGGTGCACCCTGGGAGCTGCTGGAAACTACTGGGTGCTTCTAAATGAACTGACTGTGTGGGCAGGGCGTCCATGAAGCAAGAGACACTTGGCAGCTATTTTGTTTAATAAGTTAAACAGAAAATTCTAAAGTAATCTCAACACTTGCCTTACTACTAAAAATAATAAGTAATTTACAGAAAAAATTAAAACTATATTCTGTGAGAGTGGTAAAATCTATTTTGGGGTCATTTACTAGCACTATGTAGAACTTTCTAAAAAGGCCTTTTTAAAGTGATACAGTTGGGCATCTGATTTACAAGCATGTGTACTAAGGAGCCTGTACATCATGTGACAAGGAGCAGGGAGCTCTGGCTACTGGCTGCCAAATTAAACCACTTTACTATTCGCAATGTTGCATGTTCCCATGACTAAAATTCTATTTTTTTAACATGTCATAACAAGTGTTTTATGTTAATTTAATTTGTTTTACTTTTTATTTACAACCTCACACCTGAAATGTCTGAAACATTAGTGGGAATTGTAATAATTGAAACCTCTGAATTTGCAACAGGATCATTTCTAAGTCCATCCCTAGGCCAATAGATGCCAGTTATGATGTGACACAATCATGTTTACAAGCCAGCCCAGTAGCACTGCCCCATTCGAGAAAGCAACCCCAAGTCAGCAGTCAGCAAACAAGATGTAACACAGTGATGCCCACCAGCAGCACTTCCCCATTCCTAATGTCACTCCCAGGTCACTGTATACCAAGCAAGATGTAACACACTGATGTCTTCCGGAAGTAGTGTGCCATTCCTGATGCCATCCCCAGGTCAGTGTTCGCCAATCAAGATTTACCAAAAACTGATAAAACAGCCTTTGTTAGAGGTAAACATACAAATATTTTCTGCAATTAACCCAAAAATTAGTCATGGCTTAAAGTCTAGTTTTAGAAAATATTGTATTTCTTTGTTTACTAAAAGGCTGATTCTATGAACCCAAGTGCAATCACCAGGTCAACAGTTGACAAGCTGAACAAAGCAGAGTAAATCCCTTTGCCATCTAGCAGTGCTGAGGCCTATTCTGAAAAAAAAGTAGCAATATTTGAAAAACTGGCTAATACACTTGTACACATGAATTTTGCATAGGCATTTCAATTAATAGTATGTTAATATTACTAAAAGGTTGTGCTCACATGTCTTCTAAAAGAAAATAATCCATGAGAAAAGTGAAGAAAAAAAAAATGTAAACTGGTTACAAAAAAGATTACAGACCCCAAAAAAGGACTGTTTGAAGTAGGATCAGCTCATGGTCACCCAACAATATGCTTGCAGAAACATTCTACTATTTTCAGCCATCTTCTTTAACTCTGCAGTGTCATGTTTGTCTGTCAGTGACCAGGTAACCAAACAGACATGTTTATAGGAAATTATAGGTGGTGACACTATTTATATAGATATGAGATTGTGAACAATTCAGAATGTAAGGAACATACATCTTCATATATGCCTCAATCTACCGTAGAGACTTATCTTCTGTTCTGTTATCTTCTTTGCAGACATGCCTTGTTCAAGCCCTGCTTCTTCAAAAACTGTAATGTCTTGCTCTGTTATGCCTGCCACCTGAGCAGAGTCTATAATTTTTTTTCTCCAAGATGCGTTTTCCACATGGGCAGAATCTGTAAATTTGTGGTCAGATATGCTTTTGCCTTCACTTCAGTTTGTTATTGCACCTTCAGATATGCTTTTTACGTCTAAGAATAATTTTGCATAACTTCTGATACGCCTTCTACATATAAGTTTAAACCATTTGTGGCACCAGATCATTTTTCTAGTACAGCTACGAAACTTTACTTTATGAAAGCAAACCGTATCCAGCCATCATCATCTGCAGCTAATATGTTACCTTTCCAAGGCCATAAAGTCTACTTTCACCTTGACCCCGTGCTTGCAAAATTCAAAGAAAATGCCTTTCTTTTTCTGTAGAAAAAAATTCTGCAATATGTCAAAGAGGGAACAATGCAGGAGAGTGTCACGGTCTGGGGACCGGGGCACTAGGGTATGTGAGCTCCGGGGTTTGAGGAGTGTGTAGGAGTCACAGACAGGAGGGATATCTGGGATGTTGGTCACAGAGAGAGAGGAACTAATGGTCTGTGCGTTCTCAGGACGCACTAGAGGCGCAGAATCTAAGAAGGGCCAGGTATTCGACAGAGCCTCTAGTGGTGAGGATGATTGGCTGCTGGACACCTTCCAGGTTGCAGCCCTCTAGCGCACCCACACAGACGCAAGGGACTAGTCAAAGCACCGGGGAACTGGATACAAACAACAGGTAGGGGAGAAACTTGTAACCAAGAGGAGGAAGATAGGAACAGTGGCACACAATGAGCGAGAGAAAGAGAAAGTCACAAGCAAAAGGTGCAAAACGCACAGCAGAACAGCAGAGTATACTGAAGAGGGTAGCTAAACAAAGACACTCGGGAAGGGTAAGTAGCTTAGAGGCACACCTAGGAGCAGGAAGGTGTAACGTACAAAAGTAAGCAGGAGACGTGCATTGCACATGCATACAAAGAAGCAGGATAACATAGGGAGAAGTACATAAAGAAGCAAAAGAGATGTATGCACGCAGGGGGTGCGGAGACAGGGTAAGAGAGGCGCACAGAAGTAAAGGGTGACAGCAAAGCATAGGACGATACACTGAAAAGGTAAGTGACGGAACTGAAGTACAAGAAAGCAAGCAAATAGGAGGAAGCAAACACACAAGGCTGGAGAGGGAAAACACAGTAGAAGTGAGGCAATGAAGGCAGTATAGAGAGACTCACAGCACACAGGTGTAAGCAATTAAGGTCTGCAGCAATATACTAAAGGATAACCACTGAAATACTATAGCAGGGGCGCAAGGAGCAAAGCAGGGAATAACGCCAAACAAGGATACCAGCTGGTACAGGGAAGCCAAAGGCACAAGGATCCAATAGCAAGCGCAGGGAATAAGATCCCAGGGATGGTTAGAGCCACAAGGGGTACGGAACAAGGCATAAGACTTGCTGCTCACACCAAGAGCAACAAGTGAAGAAGTCCTAAATAGGGGAGGAGGAGAGCAGATTGGCTGCAGCCTTGTGAGACACCATAGGCTGACAGCCCAGAACCAGGGAGCAAAGCGAAAATCCGGATTTCCGGATATTGAGACAGAGAGGCTTTTCTATTTACTTATTGTTAGTAGCAAAACTGGAGTCTCTTTGGTATTCTGAAAAAGCAGCTGGAAAAGTTCTACTTGCATTGTTAAAATTATTGGCTACTCGTTTGATAGTGCTGCAAATCAGTACAGACCCCCATCAAAATAATGTTGTGCAATTCTGAATATATGTGACACAGGGTGCTATGCTCATATTCTTAATTTGGTGATTAGTGATGTCACATAGTGAGTGTCTGGTCTGTGTGACTGAACAGGTCTTCTTTTGGGGTTATGGCCATGAAAAGCTCTCTAAACGTAAGAAAATCTGTGCGTCTAGAACCTGGAGCCAGCCAAAAACACTGTGTAAGATCTTTGGTTCCACTGTATCACATCAAAGGAATTGTGTATCGTTCTACTGTACTACTTGAAACACAATGCTGAGTGATGGGATCATTTGTTTGAATATGTTTGCACACCTGTGTTATAAATTTTAGATAACTAATGTCAACATCTAAAAGAGGAACTTCACCTAATGTGTGTTTTTTTATCTCGCTCTTTTGCTGGTGTTATGCACAATTTACATACTCACCCGCCCAGCATTGTCCTGCTATAATCTGACATGCATCTGCCACACTCTGGGTCCCAGGCCACCATTTTAGTTTCTTACATCATCAGGAACCAGCTGTCTCTTCCTCGTTCAAGCAGCCAGGCCATGGTGATGCCCTACCAGGTCAGCCTCCCTTAAACCAATGTATGGAATCTGAAGCATCCTGGGATATGTGACATGCATATCCCAGGAGGCTTCAGAGCAAGTGAGGTGTCATTCTTGCAAGAGGCGAGGCAAGGCAAGTATGGTGGCTGGGAGTGGTCTGGACTGAATAAAAATAGTTAAAACTATATTTTTTTCTTCATGTTTTGAATTGCTAAATGGAGACACAATACTCCATTAAGAGTATTATACTCCAATAAGAGTGCAATAATGTAGTGAGTGAAGGTCCACTTTAAGGGCCTGAGTAATATAATGATTTCAGTACTGTTCCATTAGTCATCATCCTCATGATACTTGAAACTTGCTTGACCATTTACTGTGTGTATGTACTTTTCCAGTCATCTCTTCTTTTGCTGTCATATACATCTTGGATGTTATTCACTGAGCACAATTATGTTGAAATCAGATGGAATCATGTGTCTCAATTCACTTGCAATTTGCACAACTGTGTTATAAATACAATGCAAAGTATAATTATCTCCTGTTAAGTTTAGGCATCAGAAACTTTAAATAGATTCAAGCCTCCATGTGTTCTTTTAATTATGGAAGAAGTATTATCAGTGCATGAACAATCATTATTATAGTTGCACTGTTATTATAACATATTATGGGATCTTTTACAGCTTAAGCCTAAAATGGTCTCGTATTGATTTGCTTCAAGTCAAGTATGAGGTGTGTGAGACAGAAGCTGTGGTGTATTTGAAGCTCACAAGGAGAGGTTACCCTGTAGACTCTGCCTTCATTACAGTGATGGTAACACATATTCATTTCTAAAATTAACAAGTACAAATTGTGGTTGCATATATATTAATAGCTTGAAAGTACAATTGTTGGTCCTTATGTGTTTACTTCAATTGCAAAAGCAATACATGAACATATTGTATCAGTCACACATGAAGGCTAATCTCTTAATTTAATAGGGAGGTAGCAGGTTTAACAACTTCTGGTTGATCAGCTACTTGTCAAGAGCAGCAAACCTAGTCATATGTCTGTTATTTTCCCTTCAATACACTTGTTTTTTTTTTTAAGAAATAGGGTATAAAAGTAACTTCATACATATTTTTTCATATTCTGGCATTTTATGAAAATGTCCCCTAGCTACTGGGTACATGAATTTGCATGGACCAATGCATTCATTACAAAAGGTTGCCACTATTAAGCTAAGCACATTATGGCGCAGCGATTAGTTCTATTGCTGCATTTACATCTGGTACAATTATTGCTGTGTGCAATGTGATTGCTTTTTCTGCAGTGAGATCAGATGGAATGGAGTCCATTAACATAGACCTAGCATCAGATATTCACTATATTGCCAAAAGTATTGGGACACCCCTCCAAATTGTTGGATTCAGGTGCTCCGTGAAATTTCCTTGCTACTAAATATTCTACGGTCAACTGTTAGCGGTATTATAACAAGCAACTGGGAACAACAGCAACTCAGCCACGAAGTGGTAGGTCACGTAAAATGACAGAGCGTGGTCAGCGCATGCTGAAGCACACAGTGCGCAGAAGTCGCCAACTGTCTGCAGAGTCAATAGCTACAGACATCCAAACTTCATGTGGCCTTCAGATTGGCACAACAACAGTGCATAGAGAGCTTCATGGAATGGGTTTCTATGGCCCAGCAGCTGCATCCAAGCCTTACATCACCAAGTGCAATGCAAAGCATCAGATGCAGTGGTGTAAAGCACGCCGCCACTGGACTCTAGAGAAGTGGAGACACACTCTCTGGAGTGACGAATCACGCTTCTCTGTCTGGCAATCCGATGAACGTGTCTGGGTTTGGCGGTTGCCAGGAGGACAGTAACTGATTGCATTGTGCCAAGTGTAGAGTTTGGTGGAGGAGGGATTATGGTGTGGGGTTGTTTTTCAGGGGTTGGGCTTGGCCCCTTAGTTCCAGTGAAGGGAACTCTTAAGGCATCAGCATACCAAGACATTTTGGACAATTTCATGCTCCCAACTTTGTGGGAACAGTTTGGGATGCCACCTTCCTGTTCCAACATGACTGCGCACCAGTGCACAAAGCAAGGTCCATAAAGACATGGATGAGCGAGTTTGGGGTGGAGGAACTTGACTGGCCTGCACAGAGTCCTGACCTCAACCCGATAGAACACCTTTGGGATGAATTAGAGCGGAGACTGCAAGCCAGGCCTTCTCGTCCAACATCAGTACCTGACCTCACAAATGCGCTTCTGGAAGAATGGTCAAACATTCCCATAGACACACTCCTAAACCTTGTGGATAGCCTTCCCAGAAGAGTTGAAGTTTTTATAGTGGCAAAGGGTGGGACAACTCAATATTGAACCCTACAGACTAAGACTGGGATGCCATTAAATTTCATGTGCATGTAAAGTCAGGCGTCCCAATACTTTTGGCAATATAGTGCATTTTCTAAAATGAATTATCTTTCATGAAAAGTAATGTGTAAGGTTACGGTCACAGTAGCTAGAATGCTCCATTTAGCAGATGGGCTAGTGTGCTTTGACAGATCCGGTAGTGTGCGGTGTTATGCGCTGTTTCAGCCTATTACACTGCTTACTTTTTTTAAACTTTATTTGGAGTGTACAAACTTTACACTCCATTCAGGTCCCTGCACATTAGTGACCTAGTGACCAAAGGAGCCATACAATGTGCTGCGGTAAAATGTAGCATGTCTTTCCACAGCTTAGTGCACCACACATCACACCAGTGTTGTGGTGTGAATAGAGCACTTAGAAAGCAATTGTTTTATATGTGCTCTAGCGGTGAACTGTGTTTTTCTTGTGGCGAAAAACGCATGTCACTGCTATATGTGTAAACAGGTATTTAATAATGTATATGTAAAGGAAACTTTATTTGTCTACCCTTTAGGGAGTTTTGCCCCTCTGTTTTGTCTTGGTGACCATTGTCGCCGACACAGAAAGTGAGTGGAAATACAAACATTTTAAGTTGTCTCAGAGCAAGAAGTGGGGGAAAACAATGTGAAAAGCGATTCCATTGATAACTGAAACTTCCTCTCGGTTCCTGATGAGGTTTTAACCCTTCCATACTCTATTTTTGTTTTAAGGGTTTGGCTTTATATACACTTTAACTCTCAAATAAAGTCCAATATCCCACTTGACAATTATATTGCCTTCCCTTTTCCCAAAAATGATGGCAGCATCTTTGTTCAGGCATTATCCAGGGTGAGCATCTACTTATTGGACTAAGATGCTGGCCTAGAGATGAAACAACCATGCCTGTCTGTGTATTGCCTTTATGTTCCAAGTTGTGTGACCACATTTCTCACCTAGTTCAGCTACCCGTCTGATGCCTGATCAGGTTTCCAGCTGACATTCATGACAGTCTCATACAGATCAGCCATTTACTGCCTCTCAGCCAGCTAGTTGCCAGAATATTGCAAGTTATCAAAAAGGCAAGGATGCCTGATGAAATGCTTGCTTCTGTCTGCAGCAGACTGATAACATCATTCTCCTAGGATGTCCCACTCATGTAGACCTTGATTGGGACAAAAGGACTGTTTGGTAAAAAGTATATCTTTTTTGGGTGATAATGATGCTGTATATTGTGAAATGTCAGAAATGTATTCACACAAGACTAGTAAGCCAAGTGAGAGCACCACTTTATTTGTGTCATCAATAATCATTATAAGGGGAAAGTTGTTACGTAATTCTTGCCAATAATAGTATAAGACAGTTTTTCACCAACTAATTTGGGCATAAGGAAAGCAATTTATTACAATTCAGCGCATTCAATAAGACATTGCAAAGAACTGATATTTAAATGGTGGTTTTTCTTTCACAGCAGGCTTTAAATGATCAAATTACATTTTGATAATTCTGTTAGGTTTCCCCAATGCTACCTTGACCCAAACAGTAGTACTTCTGTTATTTAAAAAAAAAAAGTATAAACTCCTACCTGTTTCCATACACTTAATTACTTTTATGTTTAATAAATAAAATAACCACTAACCTCTCAAGCAAAATTTAAATTCTGTTAAATTTAAGCTGTGATCAGCTCCTGGAATGCAAGTCCTACTACAAAGGACATTATAAGATCTGCAAAATCTAATGACAAGGATTCCATATTGTGAAGACAGGGGAAAATGGGTGATGTTATCTCTGGCTAGGATTTCCTGTGTGCTCCATGCCCATCTAGGCTCACTGGGATTTCCAGTGTGCTCCATGGCCATCTTGGTTGACTGGGATTTCCTGCATGCTACATGCCCATCTTGCCTTAGTGAGGTTTCCTGTGTGTCCTTGGCCATCTTGGCTCACTAGGATTTCCTGCATGCTCCAAGCCCATTTTGGCTCCCTAGGAATTCCTGTGTGCTCCATGCCTATCTTGACTTACTGGAATTTCCTGCTTTCTTCATGCCCATTTTGGCTTTCTGGGATTACCTTTGTGCTCTGTGCTCATCTTAAACCAGGGCAGAGCAGATCCAGCTCACCGCACTGGTGATGTATTGCTCGCTAATAACAGTAAACAATAGATCACTATCTTAAGTCATTTGTTGCCAAGCCCCCTTTAAACTGATCAAGCCCCCCCCCATGAATTTACACCTAAAAAGTTTACAAATTAAAAAAAAGGAAAAGTTAAACTAAATAAATAAATAAACATGAGGAATGCTCACTATTTATTCCCTGGTAACAATAAATACCTTGGATGCTCTGAATAGCATTGGGAGTTACAGCTTTGGGAGTTAACAGGTCTCAAGTGTTTTCAGGTGCTGGAAGTGAAGTGGATAATTAATTTTTATTACAGTTAACATATATTTTGCTATTTTTAAGGTGAATGGAATAAGTGCTAAGGATGGGAAAGACTTTTCTACAAGTCCTACTAAACTCATACAATTTGATCCAGGTAAGAGTTAGTACACAAAAATCACAAACACTGTGTTTCTCTGATTGTTTTCAGCAGAAAAAGCTGTTCCTATTCAGGCTCAACAATCTAAAAATCCAGCTAGAGGAGCGGATCAGAAGAACACATTAATATAGATGTTCAGCAATATTACTAATCACCTGTAAAAATGCAGCTTATATTTAGAATGTTATTCTGTAGGATATATTATTCCTTAAAATAAATCATACATGGCATTACTCCATTTATCTACGTGGAAGTGTTCCATGAATCATGAAGATAAATTTGGCTATCCTGTTCATCTCTTAACTGTAAGTAACTTTGTTTGTGTTACAACTTATTTAGACCTTTAAAGAGTTGTACAGTCAGACCCTTAGCTTTCAAGTATGATGTGTCACATAAGGGCTGTTGTTGCACAGTAACCATCCACGTTCATTCAGCCACTATCCTGTCACTTTCCAAGTCATATCTAATTCTGATTGGTGGTTTTGGGAGCCTGCACTGCATTTCAAGCTTTTTAAAGTAATAGTATCTCCTGAGAACAATATAACCTGTATAAGATTTAAAAAAAAGCATCTTCTGTGTGCCTATTTGACTTTATTTTACTAGGCCTGACCTTCATTGACTTCATAGTTGAAGTGTATTTCCACTTTTGCAATCAGATTTGAGAAAACCCTGTATGTTATGTGTTCCCATTCATGCAGCATACCAAAAATATAAGTTTTTAAATATTTCTTACCTTTTAGATGTTTCTTTGAAGGAGGCCTTTGTGCAGATGGCAAGCTATTCTGAACAGTTTGAAAGGGAGGGAGTGTGTCCCCATAGAAAGACTGGGGGTACAATGAGTTTCCTTACATACAATGCTTCTCATAAATGGAATCAGCAACTTTTTTTTCTTTATGCTATGCATATGGTAACAGATATAAATTAGGTGTTATCCCAGTTTGGCTGCAAAAGTGGAAATACACTTTAAATTCTGCAAACTGCCAGTACACTATTCAATAAGACTACTTTAGTGTTCAGTTAGGGCACTCTGAATGGAAAAGGGAGTTGTAGTTGGTAGAGCACAGCCATATTGTAATAGTACCTGACAGCATTAGATCATATGCAGGAATCCAACATAACAACAATATTTTACTGTGAATTAAAGTCCAAGCAAATCATAACATTATGTGATTCTTGTAAGTGAACCTTCTAGTTTTATTTAAAATGGTTGTGCTAATCATGCTTATTACTAAAACAAGGCCTTCTCTGAAGTATCAGACCTCTGAGTCCTCTAAGATCCTTATATTTTACATTGGAATTTCCTGGAATTCATAAAGAGTTTGATGAACACTTGGGCCTCTGCATGATAAATGTGGGTGCTTGCAACAGATTCATGGACCTGTTAGAAACAGGCTAGAACTGAGGCCAGAGTGTCTATACCAGATTCTCCATCCTCAGGGAAACTCAGTAATGCTGTGCCTAATAAAATCACAGGCTCAGCCTTATAGATCCCCCTGTCCAACCACTGAGCCTGTCATGCAGGCCTAGTGGCCAAGGAGTTTTGCTTTTGGGTGGGTAGAGCCTGTTTGGCATTCTAAAAAACTAGTTCTCTATCAGGTCCACCTAACCTGTGATTGACAGCAGATGGCAGTTGGTGGGTTCCATAGCCACTAGTGGGCTGTTTAGCTGCTATGGAAGGAACGCAGACCTGATGGGGAGCTAACCTCTCAGCTTTCCCATCAGGCTCCACCCACTGTCAGTATTAACAGAGTATATTGTCCAGATGTGTGCATTCTGAAGACACCTCGCCCACTATGTGGAAGGATATATATCATGAAACTACTGGAGTTTGGCATTTTTGTTTATTCTTGGATATTTTCTGGCGGTGTATTTAGGACAATATGGGTGATCTTTATCATATGTTGATTAATTATTTTATGCAATTTTGTATGAGTATTTATAAATAAACCTTTTTTCTATTTTATTTGTGCTGTGACTATGACACCTCACTAAAACCCCAATAGTTTCTTGATATATATCCACCCACTGTCAACCCAGCCCACCCAGCACTGAAGGTACATTTAGGTACTGGACTTGTCTGACTGAGAAAAACAGACTTTCTGCCATCTCTAATGATATAAAACACCCCTAGTTCTCCAAGCCTATTTTATTCTAGGCTGACTAGGCTTTAGGTCACATGAGGGAGCAGGCAAGCAATAGACACCGCACTTGAATTCCTAAACTACTAAGGACGTTGTAAGGTAAATGTTTACTGAACTTAGGTATTAAGATAAACACATGTTTTTACTATTTTTCTCTTTGCAAAGTGAACATACACTTTTCCTTTGCTAGGTAAACAGCCTCTATGCCTTTTTTTTAGTAAATTAACCCCAATGTCTAAATAATAATGTGATTTAGTAATACTGACATGTGCTCTATTGATTTATGTGAAGTGTTATTTTAATAATAGATCCAAATGAACTGTTAATGTGTGCTAGCTGTTTCTTTATTACACATTTCCAGTATTTATTTTGTATTTTATTTGAATCATGTGTTATTCTGATTTTACCTAAATAATAAATGGCATGCATTTTTAATATAGAACATATGTGAATGGAACTAAAATAACAACGAATGAAGAATAGACATTGCATTAAATAAGTCCTAGAGTTGTTTGTCTTTTGTTTTCCTTTTTCTTGTTGTATTGGAGAATATTGGAAATGTTTCTGATGAAGGCTCTTTCAAACGTAATAATATAGTTATCTTATGTCTGCAAATTTATGTGCAAGGCATTGTTTAAATAAACAGCAGGGGTTTAATGTGCTATAACAAAGAATTATCTTACGTACATTATACTTATTTAATTAGTAGTAAAACATAGTGATTTTCTGGGAGATTTTGGCATGTTGTTACATTTACCAAACCTTAGCAGAAGAGAGCCGCTGCTTTTGCCTGCCAACAGAGAGACTTTCTGCTCACTTCCAGGATGGAATTAGCACTTTAGCTGTTGAACATGTTGCTGAGTGAGTAGGACTTTCATTTTGGATTATAAATATTATAGAACTACATAGTTAGGCAGCAGAGTATAAAGCAAGCTTGCAAGTTTTGTAAGCACTTTAGCAGTTTCATATTTCCGCAATTTAGCCTAATGACATTTTTAAGGTAGATGATTTCAAATATGAATACATCCAGAATATGAATACACCAAGTAGAAATTTATAATCCGCTAAAGCCTTGGTTCTCAACTGCTGGTTCGTGACCCAAAAGTGGGTCATGACCCCATGTTCAGTGGGTCGCTGCATGTCTTCCACTTTCCTCAGCCTCCTCCTAGCGTGGCACTGTGAGTTCTCGCGCCAAGCAGCCATTCAAAATATGTTGCCTGGCACCGAGTGTCAGCTTGAAGTGGGGTGGGCTAGGGCTATGGCCGTGAAGGAACTCTATCCAAAAGTGCATTGCTTACAGCTCCCTCACGTGTCCTGTAGCGATGCCTGGACCAGAGTGATGTCACATTCTGGCTCCTGGCACCTCTACAGAAAATACTTGGAGTGCCAGTGACTTTATTATTTTTTGTACATTTTGACGGAGGCATCCATTGTTGCTGCTGCACCCGCCCTGCTGCATGGGCATTTTCCTGTCAGGTGGTGCCATGGGATACATGGACTTTTGGCACCTCTGCAGGGTGCGCAAGGGAGCTGTATATGTGGATGCCCATATCGATGGAGCTCTGTCACAGCACAGCAGTCCACACTGGCCCCCGGGATGAGGATCCACTCCAGTTCTCGTAAGGTAGGGAGACTGGGTGGGTTTTCAAAAAAAGGAAAGCATTTTTTTTTTGTGTGTGTATGTGATAGTGTGTGAGTGTGTGAGATTGTGCCTGTTGCTGTGTGTGTCTGTCAGTGTTTTTGAGAGCCCATTCACACTAGTATACAGGACTGCGCGATTAACGCACTGTACCACGCAATCGCACCTACTGCACATTCCGGTGTGGGAGATGCATTGCATTGCCATTCAATTGAATCGCACCCTGAACGCATCTCCCACTCACAGTTCTATTACCCGCATTGGAATGCACGGTACTGCAATACCGTGCGTTCCATTGCAGTGCAACTTGGGTCACAACTTAATGACCAAGGACAAATATGGGTCCTGAGGTTGCACAGGTTAGGGACCACTGCCCTAAAGGATACATACATAGAGTTGTAATATCCCACCTACAACTGTGACTTACATAGGGGTCTATTCACTAAGCTGCCGTAGGCAGCCGAGTGAAAGACCGACCTGAAGTGAAGTGAGCCGAATGCTGTTCGGCTATTCACTTCAGGCTGGTATGGCTGATTTCAGCCGTATATCGGGTGGCTTCACGTCGCTTCGGGTCGGCCGAACATGCTGAGCATGTTCGGCCGAATAGTCGTGAATAGTAAACTAGCATTGCACCCGCCCTCTGCTGCAGTTGTCCATCAGCAGAAGGCGGGTGTAATGCTAGTTTACCATTGGCTATTGCAAATTGAAAAATCCAATAGGAATCTAGCAATGCATTCCTATGGGCAAAAATTATTTTATTTTTTTTCTATTCTGACACGGCTTCTGACACTAGCTGGTAACCAGGGATGCGGATCTCTGCAAGTGACCGGAGCCAGCCATAAGATCACGGCTGGCTCCACCCAGCTGATAGAAGCAGGCTGTCGGCCGGCTTCGGCTTTCAGCGCGGCTCAGCCGAGCCGAGGCATATGCCTTCGACTCGACTGAGCCGCTCGGCTAAGTTCGGGAGCTGTACGGGCTATAGTGAATAGCCCGTACAGCAGCCCTTCGGTTCTACTGAACCAAAGGGGTCCTGGGGCCGAAGCTAGCCGAAGGATCGGCCAAAGCTATGGCTAGATCCTTCGGCTGCTTCATGAATAGGCCCCATAATTTCATGGCTTAAAGAAGTTCTAAAGTCACAGCATACACTATCCTGTTATAACATCAGCAATGTAATAGGAATACATACTATAGTTATTTTTGATAATACAATCAAAACT